ATCAAAGCATGATCAGGTGGCATTGATGCATAATTGTGATCCCATTCCTGTATTATCATACACAAATTTGAGCACGGCGTAACTAATACTGTAATTAGATATATAATTAAGATTAAGTGTAGTATTCTAATTACATCTTTTTTTACCGTAATTGACCTAATTATCCCTACATTTTTTGATGCTCCACTCGTATCTAGGCAAATATTATTGGACAACTTACAAAAATATCCTTAAAATTAAGGGTCTTTTGAAAAATCATATGAAACATATTTTGGAAATAAACAATACTGTGTAAAATTAATTGTCACTTTTTTTAATAGAAAAAGTGACAATAAAAAAAAGTGACACCGAAAAAGTNATCCCTACATTTTTTGATGCTCCACTCGTATCTAGGCAAATATTATTGGACAACTTACAAAAATATCCTTAAAATTAAGGGTCTTTTGAAAAATCATATGAAACATATTTTGGAAATAAACAATACTGTGTAAAATTAATTGTCACTTTTTTTAATAGAAAAAGTGACAATAAAAAAAAGTGACTGAAAAAGTGACCAAGTGTCACTTTTTTATTAAAAAAATGACATACAATGTCACTTTTATTAAAAAAAATTGATGTTTGCCATTCAAAAAGTGATAAAAATTTTAAAGAATTGACAAAAAAAAGTAACAAACATTACAAAATGATAAAAATTTAATAAAAAGTGACAAACATTAAAAAAGTGACAGAATTTCAAAAAGTGACGAATACTAAAAAAATTGACAATTTCCAAAAATTGACAAAACACCGATTAAAACATTAGAATCAATTCAATAAAGTGACAAAAAATTTTAAAAAAATGACAATCGGGTGGATTTGGTCGATGATGAGTCTGAGTATTTCAATTTTACAATTGATTGTCGAGCACAAAGGGATTTGACGTCTGAGGATGTTGGTGGTGGTGGTGGTGGCGCCACCCTTTGTAATTGAAACATGAGAGAAAACAGGTCATGCCACTTATATCGAACTCTTGCACCTATGGGACAAAGTTTCAAGTAACCTGACAAATTTCTATAATCACTTCCCCTTTGTGGGATATCTACCACATCAAAGGTGAATCTAAAATGATGCATGTTAGGAGATGCTTCACTAGTCATATTAATATCGACACTAGAACCATCATTTTGTTTTACATTTGTCAGAAGCTCTTCCATCAAAGCAATTACTTGCAATCATAAAAATTAGCCAAGTCTAAACTAAAACCACAAATTATTTACACCGTAATAAACTAAATAATTGATGAACACTTTGAATTCAAAGTGACATCTGAAATCATGGGAAAGAGCAAGTTGTCCATCACCATTCATAGCACACCAATGCTCGAATCAAAATAGAAGTGATGGACATCTTTAAAAAGTCTCTCAATCCAAAAGTTTGTAAATTTCCCCCACTCCTCTATATCAAGGATGAGCATTCGTTTTCGTAGAAATCCTCACCTTCAGAAACCAAGGTAAAAAAAGATATCTCTTTAGTCACAAGTAGTTCATTGACACTACTTGTTCAAGCAATAATAATATTTGATAAAAAGGAAAATGGATTGCTAATGAAAAAATAACATATTATACTAAACTGTATAGACTTCCACTTAAAAAAATGATGAGACAACTTTATGAGCCTAACACTTGCCACTTTGCCAGATTTCATTTAGCAAGCCTCTGAAGCACATGAATACATTATAGCTATAACAACATATAAGATAGAAGCAACTTTGACAAGTGAATCAAATCATGGTGTTCAGAATATATCAAATTCATGTCACAAAACAGAGAAAAGAAGAATAGAAGAAATTCATATCACGATACAAATACGTTATAAAACAACTTTATTGAAAAATCAAAAGACGTCAACAATAAATTTTACTAGTTAGAACAATTCAGAGACAACCCACACAATAAAATTACAGAAAATAATATAGAAAGTGATAAATAGTGATAGTGGGGAAGATAAAGCAAATTGGAATTTGTGCAATTGCAGGTTAAGAAGATGCATCAAAAGAAGAAAATCGAATTATTGTGGATAGGGAGTTGGGGATCAATTATGATAGTTCTGAGGTGGGAAGAAGATTTCCGTTTGCTGTAATGGTTTGGACGTTTCTGGAATTGAAATCGAGGGTTTTGATTTGGGTTGGATTTGGTTGGGTTTTGGGGGGTTAATTTAGAACGTATTAATTACATAATTAAGGTTATAGTTAGTCAATGGAGTATTATTCAATTTCCTTAATTTTGGACAGTAATTGGTCTAATTTTCCCTAGAATAAATTTTAATATTATTTAATTAAATATTAATAAATAACTTTGCTCGGTTATTTGTCAACGGTCAACGGTCAAAATATTCATTCGTCCGTCCTAAATTTTTGTGCGGGTCGCCACAGTTCCTGACAATCTTTCCTGTGAAGATAGACCCCGGCATAGAAGGAGCAAACATAGGGCTTAGACTCAGATTCCAAACCCTTGATCAAAATAATGGCCTCCGCTGCATCGTCCGCCTTTACGGCTTTCACCTCCTCCACTGATTATTGCTCTCGCAGGGCCAAAAGAGCCATCCAAATCGGTACTCTCCAGGTGCGCACCGTTCGGAACCATACCACCTTTCTCAAAACAACAATCAATGCTCACGCTCCCACCACCACTTCGTCATGTCCTTCATCCTCTGTTATCAAATGTAAGCATGTTTTTATAGACCCATTTGCTCAAATACTACTTATAGATTATCTTTTCCTTGTAATGATTTGTACTTCATCGGTGTGTATGTATAGAAGTTTGTTTGTGTAGACTTTCTTGTCCGAAATTTTGTACAAAATCGCACATGTGCGGACACATTTAGGTGAAGTGAATTGTGTGTGAAAGGGGATGTTGTTTCCTGGGGATGACGAGTGGAAGTATATTAGATAAATAAGAATCGGATTCGAAGATGTAATTTTTTAAATTTTCGTTTCCAAGGCCCTCTGTTTCTCTGTTATCACCAATGAAAAACTTGTGAGAAGCTAGTTTGTAGTTGCGGTGGGTTGTTTTGGGTTTAGCCAATGCCGAGGAAAATAGTATGACGATCGAGGGTTGAAAGATGTGCATAAATTTTTGACCTTTATGCAATCAGTGTGTTAAGCATCATGTCTTCATGGGATTTGCTTAGTTTCCTAGAATCTGAGACACGCTCACGCAAAAAGAAACAGAGGAGTCTGTAAGGAAGTAGATAGCTGACATTGTTTGCTTTTTTGGGTGTCAAACGAATTGACAATAAAATTTGAATTTGTAATTTGCATCCAACTCCAAACTCAGAAGTTCTTTCCTTTTTCTCATTTTAAAGAATTTGATGTGCTGGCAGCAGGTATTTCGATATTTCTTCTCTGCCTTTTGGGGGGTTTGATGTTGAGTATATATAATTCTTGAGTTCCTTCTTATTTCTCTCCTGAGCATACTCTACAGCTGCAATGGCCACAGAGTCTTCTGCCAAAATTATTGATGGAAAATCAGTTGCCAAAGAAATCCGAGAAGAAATAGCTGCTGAGATATTGAGAATGAAAGAGTCTATAGGGATTGTTCCTGGATTGGCAGTCGTTCTTGTTGGGGATAGGAAGGATTCTGCAACTTATGTACGGAACAAGAAGAAATCATGTGAAGCTGTAGGGATCAACTCGTATGAAGTGCGTTTGCCTGAAGACTCCTCAGAACAAGAAGTACTCAAGTATATTTCAGACTTCAATGATGATCCTTCAGTTCATGGCATCCTTGTTCAGTTACCTCTACCTTCTGTAAGCCTCCAAATTCGAGTATTATCATCTGTTAGTGGTGAATCTTCTGCATCATAAAAATTAACTGAGAATTCTATTGCCTAATCCATATCGATTCAAGTAGATTTATGATCAAGGGAGCACCAACGTAGTAAACAAATACTGCTCTTGGAAATAAATCATAAATTTATGGACTTTGTCACATGATTGGTTATGTAGTCTTCTAAATGGTAACTCTTTATATAAAAGATCAGTGGAACTTTCTTCAGTCAAAGCATGTTTTTCATTATTTGACTGACATATTACAATCTTATGTGAGGTTGTAGAATGTTAGTATTCCTACATATCTTTCCTTTTTGGCCTTTTTTTGTTTTTGTCAGTCTCCTTTTCTCTGTGAAAAGTTCTGCTTGTGAGAATAAATGTTTAAAACCCTATTTGGTATCGAATTCTTTGAGATGTACAGTTCAATGGAGATAAGAACTCAAAAATATTTACTTTAAACTTATTGGATCTAATTTTCATAGAAGGTCCTATCAATTTGATAGTTTCAGTCAGAATTCATCTTTTGTGAAACTCTGAGGGGAGTTTGGATCATCTTTCCTAAGAGGCAATAACTTGCATGACGAGTACTATCTGTTTTCTTTTGACTACTCTCCTCAATAGATGATGTCCTAATGTTCTAACTGTTTCATGGATTCCAAACCAGCATATGAATGAGCAGAATGTCTTAAATGCTGTTTGCATTGAGAAAGATGTTGATGGCTTCCACCCGTTGAATATTGGTCGCCTGGCCATGAGAGATAGAGAACCATTATTTGTTCCGTGTACACCTAAAGGATGCATAGAGCTCTTGCATAGGTATGGTGTTGATATAAAGGGAAAGAGGGCTGCCGTCATTGGCAGGAGTAATATTGTTGGAATGCCTGCTGCCCTGCTGTTGCAAGTAATATACGATTTACCATCTTTAATTATCAAAATTTATAAGCTGAACATCAAAATTTCAATATTCTTGCTTGTTTTAGTTTTTCCTTGGACGATTCCAATATGTTGTGTGTTCTTGTAGAGGGAAGATGCTACAGTCAGTATTATCCATTCAAGAACAAAGAATCCTGAGGAGATCACTAGAGAAGCAGATATAGTAATCTCAGCTGTGGGGCAGCCAAACATGGTGAGGGGTAGCTGGATCAAGCATGGCTCTGTTGTTATTGATGTTGGAATTAATCCGGTTGAGGTGCGAAACCTTTTTCTTATGGTCCGTCTCCATTTTCTTCCGTTATATTCCCCATCCCCCAGAGAGTCCCGGCCTGCCTTGTCCAGCCAAAATGCTGTTTTACAAGAATAACTAATTTTGTGCCTTCATACATGTTAGGATGCGAAAAATCCTCGAGGTTATAGGCTAGTCGGAGATGTTTGCTATGAGGAGGCTAGCAAGATTGCCTCAGCAATTACCCCCGTCCCTGGCGGTGTTGGTCCCATGACAATAGCAATGCTTCTTTCTAATACTCTTATCTCTGCAAAGAGAGTTAACAATTTCAAGTGAGGTCTGCCTTGTAACTGCACTATCTGCTTCAGCTGATGTAGCGATATATGTTGGACCCTGCTGGTGGATTCTCTAGTTTCTTCGCTGAAAACAGTCTAACTAGAATTAGATACATTTCCTTGAGAGAACAAAGCTCCGAGAACTTTCGTCATTTTTAGAATAACAATAGTTGTGGCTGCTGACGGTTGCATGATGCTGGAAACGTGTTGATTCATGGGTCGGAATTCGTTGCCTGGGTTGACAGGCGTTTGGGATTTTAATTCTTCCACAACAGGGCCATCGTGATAAACTGGCCATTCAATGTTAGCAGCCTTGGCACAAGTTTTTGCTTTTTCTTCTTCCATTAGTATGGTATGCATTTTGGTCTGTTTTTTTTAAACCTATGCATTCTAATCTTAACTAACGTGTCTCTAATCTGAAGCAAGTGATAATCGCGAGATCCACAAATACACAACCTGCTCATTGTCTTCTTAAGTCGACTTCCAGACCTATTTGGCTCGAAATAAACAAAAGCTGGTTAAGCGGGGATTATCTCAAATTTTTCACATATGCAGCACCTTATGCTTATTGTATACTGCTCCATCTGTACTTCTGGTTGCACTGGGAAAGACTTCTATGAACATTAAAACACGAGGGTAGCAGTTGTCTTTGGAATTGAAATGACATCTCAATATGTTGGGATCATTGATATGTAAAT